CTCCGGTACCGGGAACCGAACTCATGACCTTGCGCTTGCCAGGCAGGCGCTTTGCCGCTGAGCTAAATCCCCAGCCCCTTCCAAAAATGTATATAAGCTGGGAACAAAGGCAGGTCCATGCCCACTTCCCTGACTTGGAAGTCGGCAGGAGAGGTGACTGGCCTAAATTAAAACTTTGTCTGCTCTCTTTGGTCTCTTGTGGAATACAGCCCGAACTTTGCCATTACAATCACAGTAAAGCTGTTAGAAACCAAAGAACAATAAAAAAAAAAACAACTCCTAAAGCAGCAAGAGGAAAGAGATAAAATCTCCTCAGTGAACAAATCTTATACACAGGCAGCAAATTTGTCAAGTAAAACAACAGAACTAGAAGACAGTGTTATCAACCTTGCCTCTAACAGTGCCACCATCTGGCTTCTCTAATCCCACAGTTCTGCATCCTAAATGACATTAGAGAACCTAATACTCCACATCGACGATGTTCTTCAACACCTTCGCCAGCTGGGTAGTATATCTGGATTCCAATTAAGCTTCATTACAGCCTTCCTAGGTGTCCCATCCATCCCTGAGCCTAAATTCTCTACCACTGTAAAATGAGATGCAATGGTATGAGCATGTCATACTTTTCCAGTTGCACTGCCAGGATAGTGAATCAACTGAATTGATGGAAAGGAACATACTTGTGACCTGGTTGGAGAGAACAGACCCAACTTAAGGCACAAAGGCAGGAGACTAAGGGTGAGAAGTATAGTAACCAATAATTAATATGAACAGTCACTTGTTGTGGGTCATGTACTGAGTCAAGAGCATTAAGCCACTGTTTTCAAGTCTCACAACACACTACCCGTCTCAGCATTGCTGTTCCCATTTTACAGAAGTGGAAACTAGGGCTCTGAAAGTGAAATGATGTTACAAAGCGTCATAGGCTATAAGATGGGGTTTATCTGACTCAAAATCTGGTGCTGCTCTAGATATTTTAAAAATTGTATTGAGATAAAATTAGTATAGTGTTGAGACACCATATTCTGTGTGAAAGGAAGAGAAAAAAAAAACACATTAGGGCTGAAAAATTAGGGAAGTCTTCCTAGAGAGAGTGAAGGTCACTTGGAAGGCTGACACAGGACTGCCACAAGTTCAAGGCAGCCTGGACTAGGCAGTGAGTTCAAGATCACCCTGGACTACACAGAAAGACCCTGTCTCAAAAAACTAAAGATAGAAAAGAAAGAAAGAAAAAAAGAAAGAAAGAAAGAAAGAAAGAAAGAAAGAAAGAAAGAAAGAAAGAAAGAAAGAAGGAAAGAAAAAGAAAGAAGGAAAGAAAATGAATGTTCAGCTTGGCCTTTGAATGTGAGGGGATTTGAGACAAAGAAAGGCAGAAAGCAGGGGATACTGGACTGAGACCTGGTTATTACCTCAAGTAAGTAGCACATAAAAGTGGTTCAGCAAAGATGAGGCTGGAAATGTGGACTAGTCATCCAGTGAAGAACACAGAATGCCTTATTGAGGAGTATAACATTGGTCCCTGGGCATCCAGGAGTTGAAGGAGGTGTGCAAATAATAAAAGACATAAAGAAGTATATTTGGGATCAAAAGATTAAGCATGGAGTAATGGTTTTCCTAAGTAACAGTGTGACTGTGGTGCAGTTTATTTCGTTTTTCTAAATATCAGTTACTTCATCTGTAACATGCCTGAGCTGGAGAGTTGTGTTTCTCATCATATCAGCACACATTTCAGGATCCACCATTTAGGAGGCATGCAGTAGATATTCACCAAACTATGGTCAAACACTGCCGACCTCAAAGACCTAAACGTAAGAATTAAAACTAGAAACACCCTAGAAGATTCTGTAGATTAAATGACACTATGAACAGAGTAAAAGACAATCCACAGGAATAGGAGAAAGAAAATATTTGCAAGTCAAATATCTGATAAAAGATGAACATCCAGAATATATAAAGAACACTTAAAACTCATCAATAAAAAAATAAAAACAACTCAAGACCAAAAAAAATAAAGGCAAGGTACTTGAATACACATTTCTCCAAAAATATCCCAATGGCCAGTAAACACATGAAATATTCAACATCACTAATCATTAAGCAAATGAAAATTGAAACCATCAGTATTGCAAAAATCACACAAATCAGAACTTTGTACATTACTGAAGAACTGTAAAATAGTGTGATAATCACGTAAAACATTGTGCCAGTACCTCAAAAATGTAAACATAACATTACCACAGAATCTAGCAATACACTTTAGGATTTATGCACACATATTACAATGAATACAATTTTTGCAACAAAACAGTTTGGAAAATCATTAAACAGATAACACCAACCCACAACAAACAACAGCCAACTCTAGGAGGGTAGGGAGAATCAGACTTCCAGTGTTACCCCATTATAATATTTGAAATATCCAGTTCAAGGTATGCAAAAAAAAAAAAAAAAAAGGAAAGTATAACTCACAGAAAAAAGAAAAAAAAACAGCAATGATCCTTAAGGAAGCCCAATCATTGGCCTTTCTAGATAAAAATTTAAATTGCCTGTCTTAAATATGCCCAGAAAACTAAAGGAAACTATAAGCAAAGAACTAAAGCTGACCAGAAGAAAAATGTTCCAACAAATAGAGAGTATCAATTGAAGAGAACAAAATTATAGAAAGGAATTAAGTCTAAATTATGGAATTGAAAAGGCCAAAAGCTCAAATGAAAAATTCACTAGATGGGTTTAATATCAGATTTAAGCCAGCAGATCAAAGAGTCAATGATCTAGAAGACAAGCCAATTGTTACAATCCAAACTAAAGTTCAGAAAGGAAAAACAATGGATA